GTATGTGTATAGGCTTCGGAGATGCAAAATAAAACTGGCTTTCATTTAATCTGCAAACGTTTGGCTCTGGCGCTCAATCCTAAAACTATAATGAAGGCACTATGGTTATTGACAGCAAAGAAAAAGAACAATTATAAATGACTAAGAGGCTGTAAATCTCATACTACGTAACTGTTTAATCTTTCACTTCATCTGGAAATTTTCAAATTTTTAAAAATTGATAGGAGATTAGAAATTTTCTTCTTCTTCTTCTTTTTAAATTTTTTTTTATTGTAACCTTCATGTAGTATCAGGTTTCAGTGAAAACTAAAGACCCTAATGAGATTAAACATTCAAGAGAACTAAGGGGCAGGTCCCTCCATTAGATCGTGACAGGAATCTATGGTGAGAAAATCCTACCTCTGCTATTGACTTCTCTCAATTCATGAGGCCACTGGTGCCTCCTTAAGTGTCTACAGCATCCCAGCATCCCACAGTATGCATGCCACATTTACCTCTTCACTCATCTAGCAGTTTCTAAAGTAAGGCTCAGAAGTACCAGTGCTCATCAGACGCTGGTCCATGTTGAAGAACAGAGTGCTGTTGTGGGACCAGGCATAAACCTTCAGGAGAGGATTCCCACAAATGACTGAAATACCTTTCTGCAATCATCTGTGGTGCATACTCCACAGGAATTCTCTAATATTTTCTTCCTATTATAGTACCAAACTCCTATTATCTATTTTTAAGGCAATTACATGGCAATAATTTGTTTCTGATCAATGTAATGTTTCAAAAAGGAGGCAAGCCTTGGAAGATAACAATGCATATTTTCCCACTCATGCTTCTTTATTATGTTATGAAGGTATAATTTATATACGGTACATATAATTTATATTATATTTTGTGTATACAATAACTTGCACAAATCTTAAGGACACCGTTCATTACATTTCAACAGTTCCAAATTCTATAGCTGGAGTCATTTGCACAGATCAAAATGTAGAACATTTTTCTAAGAAGAGTTTAGGTGTATCCACACTTTAGAGGTAATCCTATTCTAATTTCAACCACATAGGTTAGTTTTGCCTGCTCTTAAAGTTCATAGAAATGAAATACAGTATTACGTTGGGCCTGGCTTCTTTTTCTCAACATGTTTTGGAGATTCATCCATGTTTCTATGCATTAGTAATTCATTTAATTTTAAGTAATTGAATAGTATTGCACTGAATTTGTTTATCTCCTTTCTATTGGATTATCTCCAGTTTTTAATTATGATGAATAAAAGTGGAGTGCAGCTTTCTTGTATGTGTGTTTTGAAGGGCACAAGATTCATTTGTTGCTGTTGCCAGGTTTTTTCTCACCCAGAGCTGCAGGTGGGTTGGAACCACAGCTTTTTGCTTAGCAGCTAGCTGAGTGCTTCCTCATTGCATCACAAGGGACCCTTACGATAAATGACTTGTGGGTATATATGTAGGAGAAGGAGCTCTGGTGGGGTAATGATTAAGCTGCTAGCCAAAAGATCAGCAGTTCCAAGCCACAGCATTGCTCCAGAGGAAAAAGAGTGGCAGTCTGTGCCCATAAAGATTTCAGCCTTGGAAACTCCATGGGGCAAACCTACTTTGTCCTGTAGCTTTACTATGAGTCTGAATTGACTTGTTGGCAACAGGTTCATATACAGGGGAGGAGAATTGCTAGGTCACAATGTGCATGTTTAGCTTCAGCAGACAGTGCCATCCTTTTCCAAAGTGGTCAAATATTTGACACATCCACAAGCAGTGTCGAATATTGTGCTTAAGGCACTTGACTGGTAACTAAAAGGCTGGCGGTACTTCCTCACAAGGAAGGTTGGGCAATTTACTTCTGTAGTGATACAGAAACCCGAGGAGGGGTCGCTATGAGTCAGATCTGACTCAATGGCAGTGAGTGGTGGTGGTGGTGGCCACAGTGTATGAAAGACTCATTTGCTCCACACCCTCACCAATACTTGGCGTTGTCAGTCCTTTCAATGTCTGTCATTGTGGTAGGTGGGTGGTTTTCACTTAAAAGGTTAAGGAAGTAATGCATCAGAAGGAAGTGGGCAAACCCTGCAGATTCCACCTCTGCAAGTCCCCTCTACTCATGTCATCATTCTCCTTGCTACCAATTCCTCCCAAGATACTCAGCATGCATATTATTAGATAAGCTGTATAGAGGTCTCTCCAAATGAGACTAAGAAAGGAATAATGGATATTCCTGACATCCATGTCAGTGCAAAGATTCACATGTGGGTTTTATATTTTTATGCACACTTTGAAACAAGAAAATTCATAATAAATTATTAATGCTTATGAATGGTTTCCATATCGAGAATAATAATGAATGAGTCATTTGATAGTTAAGTTTACTATGTTTAAGTTTAGAGTTGAGCCAAAGCATACACCTGTGTTATTAATTTTTGATAACACAATTATGTTTCAAAAGACACAGCATAAAATGCAACAGTACAGTTTTCTCTGGTGGCACCTTGAAAGCAAGAATATGCTTTTTCATGCCATGTTATAGGGATTTTCTTCTTTTTTAAAAAACTTTATTATATGTTTACTCCATATAAAAGACAAGTTTACTGACCAAATTAACAATGTAGCCATCCATACAATTAGAAATTAAAATATAAATTAAAAGTAAATCTATAATGCTTTTTAAGTTATGACTATTATTAACCATAAATATTCTGTAAAAATTATTCATCATCTTTTCCTCTGAAATTATTTACTGTTGAGTTAATTTCTATCTAAAATATTGCATGTGCTTGTGTATGCCATCAAGTTGATTCCAACTGACTCATAACAACCTTAAAGGATAGACTAGAGCCATCCCACAGGGTTTCCAAGGCTGTAATCTTCACAAGCGCAGACCACCAGGTGTTTTTATACCCATAGAATGGCTGGTAAGTTCAAACCATCAAGGTTTTGGCTAGCAGCAAGCAACTGTACTATTGCATTTTATGCTGTGTCTTTTGAAACACAATTGTGTTATTAAACACATTATGCCTTAAAATATTTCATAGGATAAAGAAAACAACAACAAAAAATTATATATTCACATATTAATAAATGTGAGAATATTTAGTTTGGGATTAATTATGTATGCATGCATACACATACGAACACATGAAAACACACCTCTCTGTAGGACTTTGATCCCTCCTTCACAAGTAGTTTTGGTGTGACTCTATTATTTGTTTTCCAGTAGGGAAAAAAGACTGAGATAAAGCACCCAAGTATAGCAAATTGAACAGTGGATAACTGAGAAGACCATAGTTTTAAGTCTTTTCTATATTCTAGCTCAGTGTTTCCTCAGCTGGGTTCCACAGAAGAGATATTGATATGTATTCTACTTAAAGGAGGTCAACTATGTTTGGAAGTGCTGCACACTGTACATTCACCTTTGAATGGCCACCATTTAAACCAATATATTAAATGTTCAGAGAAGTCCTAAAATAAAGAAACTTATTTAAGTTCATTTTACCTGTTGCTCCATTAACCTATTTGGCCATGGAGCCCTAGTCTACTTTTATTTATTTATTTATTTTAGTACACCTATTAGTACCTTTCAGAAGAATGTTTATATTTTGCTTTAGATCAATCTTTAACACAATGTGAAATTCTCTTTGACTTAGTGGTAGTTCATCACAAGCTAGATATATCTGTTTCCTTTAAAAATAAAAATCTCAGCTATGGGAACTATTCTAAAATAGTATTAAGTTCTTAGGAAAAAAGGAGTGGAAAGAATGGTGGTAGAAATTACCGGATCTGGATATTAAACTTCAAAAGAAAAAAAAAAAAAAAAAACATGACTTCTGAATCCTACTTTCAATTATGGACTTTAGTTAATGATACCATACCAGTATTAGCTCATCAATTATAACAGTGTACCACACTAATGCAAGATGTTAGTAGGAAAAACTGTGGGCAGGAGGGTAAGGGTGTTTATGGGAACTCTGTGCTTTCTACATAATTTCCCCAAAAAATACAATATATTAAAAAAGAAAATAACAATATGACAACAACAAACATGGTATCCATGTTACCTACTGAAGCCCATCTGCCATATCTGTCTCTCCATAGCTCTCTCTACTTCAAAGACCCCAGTAGCATTTAAATCTTTTTTGACATGACATGTCTGCAATTACTCTTTCTGAACAGGTGAGTAGATATAGAGAACTCATTACTACTTCACTGGAATTCACTGTAGTGAGAATATATTGTATGAGGATGTGTTGAATGTTACATATAGAATTCCTGGAAAAGGCACCAACAGGGGTGAGAACAAGACAACATCTCTGGTAATATTGCCTAAGGCATTTGACTGCAAACCAGGAGGCTAGTGGTTCAAACCCACCAGCCACTCCTCGGAAAGAAGACTGGGCAATCTACTTCCGTAGAGGTTCCACTTTGGAAACCCAAGGAGGAGTTGCTATAAGTCAGAGTCAACTTGATAAAAGTGGTTTTTTTTTTTTTTTTTTTTTAAATAAGATCAACAGGGCTACAAATGGGTATGCATTGCTAAGAAGAAAAACTATAATTTTCAGGAATGATTAAGGTATAAGAAGTGAATGAAAAATGAATCTATCTCATGCAAATTTCATTTCATTCATCTGGTTCCTTCTGTAAAATAATTACATAAATTATCCTCTCACTCTTTAAAATGAATTCCACTGAATTTAGTTTAAAATTTCAAAAGTAGATGCAGAGACAAATCCAAGAAAAACAGCACATTTTAAAGGAGAAATATGAAACTAATTTTATAACTAACTGTGAGTACTCAGACATTTCTTTAAATATTAACCACAATAAATGCTCCAAACACAATATAAGTGCAGGGAGTACCCGGACATCAAAAAGGAAGCCTCTTCATGACAGGTGCTTTAGATAAATGACCAAGACTGAGTGGTCTGAAATGAGACCACAGTTTGGATTTGCATTGTTTCACTTGATCATTCCCAATTCAACCCAAGTGAAATTGTGAAATTCAATTACCTGCACAAAACCGCAAGCTGTGAAGTCCTCGAACAAGGGCAGACTTGGGCGGTCTTCTCTGTAGATGGTGAGTCTGTACACGATCACAGTTTCCCCCTGGGCTGGAGATTCATCCACCACAAGCATTGAGATTGTGTTCATCCCTAATCCCAGAGGGTAGCTGGCAAAGCTGGAGAGAGAGAGGAAGAAGGAGGTGGAGGGAGAGAGAAAGAGGGAAGGGAAGGGAGATAGGAAAAGGAAGGGACAGAAAGAAAGAATGGGGAGGTATATATTGAGACCAAACAGACTTATTCCACATTAGGAACAGAACAAATCATGTCCCCCATCAATTAAAGGGAGAAATACATAAAAACATAACCAAACCAGTGGTCATTGTGTCAATTCTGATTCATGGTGACCCCTGTATGTCACAGTAGAACTGTCCTTCTTAGGGTTTTCAGTGGATTGTTTTCTGGAAGTAAATTGCCAATGTACCTCCAGATGGACTTGAGCCCCCAACCGTTCTGTTAGCAGTCAAGTGTTTTAACCTTTGTACCACTCAGGGACTCCCAACTGCAGGAAGGATAGTAACGTTTATTAACTAACTGTCAGGGCTATATATCATCTCACTCAACACCTACAGATACACTATGAGAAAACTATGATTGTCCCTACTTTAAATATAAAGAGAATTGGTAAACAGATTGCCCAAAGTCATGGTAGAAACAGGGTTGGGATTCAGGTTGGTCTGACTTGAATCTTCATCTCTTTCCACTAGATTTTTCTGACTCCCATGGATGCTGAGTGTGTTTCTTTGCCTATAACAGGGAAATATGAGTATCTTCCTTGCCACGTAAATGACCAGTGATAAGGGTCTACCTTCTGTTCAAATGAGAGACAAAAGAATTGTTAACTCTCGTCAACAATGACAAAAATCCCAGGGAGACTAGAAAAGTCATTGTTACTATGTCCACAACTTGTTGCCAACATGTGTGGTAAGCAATCAAGCCCCGAATAACTGAAAACTTCAGGAGTTAGGCCATGATAGAAGAAGGTTACTGTTCTGAAGAATTAACACTTTAAGAACCTAAAACCTTGAAAACAAGGATAACATTTTTACTTAAAGCATTCTCCATTTGATGGTAACTGTTTTGTTTTAATATTTTGTATAACAAGATCTTCTCTTGTTATAAAGTTGTTATAAACATTAGTTACAAAAATTGCTAGTAGATCAGTAGAGAATTGATGGGCTCTGTTAGCCACATAACACCTGCAAAGGGAAGGATTTCACACCCTGGAAATCTCTCCACTGGATTTCATGTCACGGCTCTTGTGAACACTTTCAAAGGCTGCATCATATGTCTGCTTCCCATTATGATGGTTCAATTCAGCCCATCCGCATCCCCATACCTTGGTCCCACCTGCTCATACAGGTGCACCTTGCACTGACACTTCGAAGTCTCTGCTCCAATTGTCACTGTTACCACATCAAATGGGACTTCAGAGTAATAATCTTTGATGTTCGGACTAAATTCAGGATTTAATTCCAAATGTGGATGTGTGAAGACCTGCTTGATATGACATAGTGTGTGTTTATCTATTAAAAAGAAAGAAAGAAACAATGAAAAAGAAAATATAACTGTGAAATGGTTAACCATTTGAAAATCATATGATTAGATTTTTTTTTTTCTTTGACCAACTTTAGCAAGCACTGCTGACTTTTCACTCAGCACCTTGGCCACAATTGGTTTGTTACTTCAGCTGGATTTTCTATATATTTGTCAGATTTTGTAGGATTTCCCTCATATAACAACTATTGGTGTTAGTTGGTGTTATATGGATAATGTTTTTTGCTCAGCCCTTGAAAGTTAAAAGATGTAGAAGACAGGAGAGCATCTCTCTATTGGACTGATAATATTTTCATGGCATTTACTGCATAGATAAAGCAACTGTGTAAACAGGGGTGATGTCTCTGTGATGATGACAGTATGGGGACCAGCAGGGAATGAGGAAAAGTTCCTGATAGAATGTGATTAAAGTGTCATTTGATTGACATAGCAGGTAATGGGCAATAAGATAGGTGATGGATGTGAATTCTAACATTATATCAAACACTTTTTATATATCAAACAAATTATATACAAATGTCAATAAGGGAACCTTGAGACCCCTTCCTTCTCAGGTTCCTGAGAAAGTACAATAAAGGAAAAGAGGGAAATTCTATTCTCTGCTCAATCCTGTTATAGAATCTAGAATATTAGTGATTTAAAGTCATTTAAAGAAAAAAAAAAAGTCTCTTTGGTAACTGTTCTGATTACCTAGTGCTGCTCTGACAAGAATATACCACAAATGGGATGGCCTTAACAAACGGGAGTTTATTCAGTTTGGGAGGTTTTAAGTCCGAGTTCGAAGTGCAGGCTCTAGGGGCTGTGTGAAAGCCCCTCGATCTTGGGCTTCAGCTCTGCCTCTCGCTCCTGGCCCACTGAAGCTGGAGGCATCTCTTCACTTAGGCAGCTACTGGCTGCTGAGGCTAACAAGCCCAAGGTCAACAAATAAAATGGCACAGTCCCAATGTTACCAAAGCACATGGCAGGCCATTAATTCAAGTTGATTGTAAGTCCCAAGGTCAGCAGACCATGGTAGGCTGCTGAACAGCTACACGGCTACATGTAGGGTCCAAGTGTGCCATAAGCTAGAAACTACCCCAAGGTTTCTCCTTATATACAGGAGGCAGACTACATCCCAAAGGCTCAGCTGCTTGTGGTAGATCCCACCATGGAGTTGATTGTCAGTCTCATCATGGGGAATAGCTACCACCAAGCTGCCCAGCCACTCAACCAGGCCCGGCCAAGTTGACATACAAATTTAACTACCACAGTAACCCAATTTTTCCAAAAGTATCTTGGTAAGAAAAAAGAAAAACAGAATTATACGACACTGATAAATTATATTCAGTGTTAATTCTTGGAATAAACAAATTACCCCAAAGAAGATTTTCCAAAGAAATATCAAGAAGTATTTTGTTTCATAAATTCTGTTCAACAGTCAACAAAATTCCCACAAAGCATAAGGAAGAGATCAGTAAAATAAATGTGTCCTTGCATTTTCTTTAAATAAATTGTCCTGTGATATTTAACAACATGTTGTTGTTGTTGTTGTTATGTGCCATCGAGTCGGACCCAACTCATAGTGACCCCTCCTTGGGTTTCCGAGGCAGTATCACTACGGAAGTAGATTGCTCCATCTTCCTTCTGAGGAGTGGCTGGTGGATTTGAACCACCAGCCTTCTGGTTAGCAGTCAACTTGCTGCAAAAAAAAAAAGAAAAACAACCAAACTCACTGCCATCGAGTAGATTCAACTCATAGTCACACCTCCTTGGGTTTCCGAAGTGGTATCTCTACAGAATTAGATTGCCCAATCTTCCTTCTGAGGCATAGCTGGTGGGTTTGAACCACTAGCCTTCTGATTAGCAGTCAAATACCTTAGACACTAAGCCACTAGAGTTCCTGAACTTGCTGCAGGAAGTGATAAAAGTAAATTTGAAGAAGATATAATATGCTATTAACTGTTGTTTCTTCCTTTCCTTTTATGCAGTTGCCATAATTATTTTTCTAAAATCAAATCTGACAGTCCACCTGCAATTCTTTAAGAGTTTCTCATCAACTCCATGGTCAAGTCTAAGCCCTAATATGCAGATAAGGCATTTTTGGACCTTTTCTTCATCTTCTTCTCTATTCTCATCTGTCATTATGTCCTAGACTTTGTGCCTCAACAAATCAAAATTTTCATATTTCTTGAACGGAAGGAAGCAGGGATGTGCCATAGCTATGGATACTGACAACCATACAGAGGTTTTATTCTAGTTCTCAGGAGTAGGCTTCAGTATAACTCCCATTGTTCACTGCAAATATATATGTATTTTTTCAATCATGCATTTCTGTATTATCCCCTGGTTTTCTCAGTCTATGGAAGAAAAACTATTTTGGTATAGATAAGAGCAATAACATAATAGATATTTTACAGTTTCATTTCAGGGGAAAGTCTTAATGAAAAACTAAGTAGTCAATTTGGTTGAATAACTCAGTCACTTGGGCAAACTACCTGCTTGAGTGATTTTACTTATTAATTGACCTAATTATCAACCAAAGATTTAACCTAGTTGATTTATAGGTATGCTGCATCTATGATCTTTTTGAACTGATTACCTACTGAAATCTTTTTATAATAAAAGAGAAGAGAAAAACAAACACAAAAACAAGGAATGATGCTATATTTGCATTATTTGAACTTATCCTGAAAATGACCACAGCTTTTAACTCAACTCCAACCCACTTGGTATTAATGCATTCTTTTTTTTTTCTTTTGTATCAAAGATTTTTTCCAGCATATTCTATGTTCAAGATACTAAGATGAACACAGTAAAAACACATATTAGTCATGAGATATGATTCAAATGGAGACTATGAATCCAATGTAACACTTCAAATAAGCTGTAGTTCAGATACAGAAGGTGCTTTGGAGACGAACATTTCCTAGGAAGCAAAGGAACCAGCTACACGAATAATGAAGTAACAGATTAAAAAAAAAAAAAAAAAGTAAGCATATGTGGTGATGCGTGGCTAAGGCATTTGGCTGCTAACCAAAAGGTCGTGGGTTTAAGCCCACCTGCTGCTCTGTAGGAGAAAGATGAAGCACTTCTGTAAAGATTCACTGCCTTGGCAATCCTGTGAGGCAGTTCCCTCAGTGTGAGCGGGAGTCGACTCCATGACAGTGGACTTGGGTTTTTTTTTTTTTTTTTTTTTTTCTGGTGTTGTTCTTTAATTTACTAGGATATATTTTTTAAACATCCAGTGAGAGTTCCTTTCTCAGCAATTTATCCTTTCATGACTAGTGAGGGTTTTCAATGGGACTTGTCTATTTTAACACTGAAACTCAGCTCTTCATGAGATAACATGCAATCATTCCACTAAACGTGATTTTAGCAAGTATTTCCTTCTGATTTCATCAGAAACTCACCACCTCTGCATGAGGGCTGTGGCCCAGACCCCTGTTTCAGAGCTCATTGAGTTCTGACATCATCTTCAACTGAATCATCTCTGTTACCGCCCACAGACACCTGGTGTTTCCTTGGCATCATTCCCAACCCAATCCCAACTTGCCTCAGGCCAGCTTACCTTACAGCTGTGGAGAACCTAGTGTGAGGTACGGTGGTAGCAAGCTGCTTAACCTATTTGGCAAGTATATATGGGAAAGCTGTTTGATGTTTGGCTCCTTTTAATGGGTTTCTTTTAACCACAGAATTTTATTGCCCTCCTGAGGGATAATCATAACTCATATTAAACACCAGAACAGCCTAGACTCCTGGAGACAGTCCCACCTGTTCTGAGACATCATCACATAGGCTGACTTTTAAAATTTTATATCATACTGTAAAAGTAGAAAGATGAGTTATGAAGACCTGGGTAGGACTAATCTTCATCATCTTAAAAACAGGAACAGAGTTAAAGCACTTATAGAACACGTTCAATCCTCTTTACCCAGTTACCTTGGATCTAAAAAAATGAAGCCATTCAGTGAAATCCTTGCGTTTTACAAAAGAGGAAATAGAAGTCGAATGAGATGAAATGAGGTGGTTTGCCTGATGCGGAGTCTAACCTGGAGCCTGGAGCATAATGGACTCTCAACAAGTGGTCACTGCAATGCTGTTCATGGTTTTCTTTCTCGTTCTTTCCCCACTGCATTCCAGGGGCCAGTCTCCCAAGAGAACTGAATAGCATGTATTCTTTTAGGGGTACGGGTTTGGGGATAGTCCCTGGGTGGTACAGATAATTAATGTGTTCAGCTGCTAAGGAACTGGGTGGAGGTTAGAGTCCATCCAGAGGCACCTAGGATAAAAGACCTGGTGACCCACTTCTGAAAGAGTAGTCACAGAAAACTCCACGGCACATGGCCCAAGTCCACACACATAGGGTGGCCATGAGTTGGAATTGACCTATTGGCACCTGGTGCTGGTACAGGTCTGGGGTGGGGGAGGCAGTGCAGGGAGACCTATGTATAAGAAATATCTGTGATCTCCCAAGTAGCAATGCTGGATACTATTTTTTCTTTCACTGGCTATATTTATTGATTTTATCAAACAATCTTATTGTGTAGCCTCTCAATCTAAAGTGATTTTAATGACAGTAATAAAAAATAATTAATCAAACTCTACAAAAAAGAAAGAAAACCCACTGCCATTGAGCTTTCTGTCAATTCCATCTCATGGTGACCTTATAGGACACAGTAGACCTGCCACAGAAGGTTTCCAAGGCTCTAAATCTTTACAGTAGCAGACTGCCTCATTTTTCTCCTGTGGAGTGGCTGGTTGGTTTAAACTATTGACTTTTTGGTTAGCAGCCAAATGCTTTAAACCACTGTACCACCAGAGTTCCTTATTCACATTCTAGAAGACACAAATTAGATTTTGTTAAATCAAAGGACTTGTGTTTATACCAAATGAGACCTAAGTCTGTAAATTCCTTTTAGCCTTAATGCTTTAACAGAACAGGACCACACGCTAGGCTCTAATTGTCTAACTGTTAACCTTTTGGTTAGGAGGCTAACACTTAACAATTGAGTTGCCAAAGCTTATGTATGTAAACACATTAAAGTACTATTATAAAGAATAAACCTGCTGAATGTACTTCTTGATTTTATATCCTATCTTATAGGGTATTAAGAAAATTCAGGGGTTTGGGACATAGAATCTGAAGACGTAGCTTCATTATCCAGCTCAAAAAGCTTAACAGCCCTGTGACCTTGCACAGTCAGTGAGATGCTCCAGAATGCTGCATTTGCAAGAGCAGTGAAGTAATACTTACCAGACAGAAACAGAAATAATATTCATAAATGTAAGGCTGTACACAGTCTCATTCAATGTATCAATTATATGTGAATTTTAAGAAAATTAATTTAAAATTCATTTTAAAAACCTCAACTAGTCTAAAGAAAATTTTGCTCAAGTATTACCTGTTATAGCAACAATATGGCAGGAAATAAATCACTGGAGGGTGCTGAGGCCTCTACAGATGGATGTATAAAGCAGATGAGCCCAGCCCTGCTCTGGGAGGGGTCTCCAAGGCAACACTACAGAACTCAGTGAGCCCTTTAAAATGAGCTTGTAAGTTACTGGCCTTTAAAGGAAAATCATGTTCAAAAGCAGAAAATTAAAATGCTCTTCTCAGGCAAACATGATAGATAATGACTCTTTCAGAAATCTCATAACGTCTGAAAATTTACTCAAAGTAAACCAGCAGCCCAAAGACATCCAAATATGATCAAATGACAATTTATGAAATGCTGGGCTGAGCTCAACATTGATTATGTGGCTGAAACACTTTTATATCAACTTACCATTACTGCAATGTATTTCTTTGATGTCATTCAAAATTTGTGGTATTACAGCTAAAAAATATAATAACAACTAATTAAGTTTAAAATAAAAACAATTAATCAAAATAAAAAGATTAAATATCTCATAATCTCAAACACAGAACAGTTGCATAAAACGTATGTTATTATTTCGTTTTTACTGCATCATGAAGTACTTCCAAGTAAAACTAAAAGCTAACATGAGACCAAAGAAGTTATTTGATTCAAAACCCAGAAGATGATTATATCAAATATGAAAGTATTGAGGAAGGGAATGAATGGTTTAGTCTCATCCATTGCCTGAAGGTAAGGATTTGGATCCAATGATTTATCGAAGTTCCTTTTAGTTCTATGATCCTAATGTTGTAATTTCCCATTTATTTGAATCTCAGAAATTCTATCCAGCTGTTCTACTAATGTTTAAACTTCTGAATTCAACCAAACATCCACCTAAAAGCTCCTCAATAATTATTTTTGGAAGAAATGAATGCATAGAACTCCCAGTGCACTTAACTAACTCATATAAACACGAACAGTGGTTAGAGGAGGACAGCAGTCAGGACGTCACTTTATCAGTTTTTCACGGGGCCTACTAGTTCATTCCACTGGGTTGATGGTTCTCAAACTTTAGCATGCCTCAGAGTCATCTGAAGGGGCTATTAAAATACAGATTTCTGGGCCTCATCCATGGGCACTCTGATTCAGAAGAAGGGCATTTTCAACACTTTCTGAGGCAATGCTGATGCTACTGGCTTGGGAGGTACGCTTTGAGAGCTGCTGTATTGTATGTATCAAACCCTGATTTATAATGGGAACACTGAGCATTTTTAAAAAATTGTAGATGCAAAGGTAGGTACTTATTTTCATTTTTTTCTTCTTAAAATTCTATTTTTATAATTCTATCTTATTCCAAAAGTCTCAGATGTTCCTTAGAAGGAAAAAAAGAGAAAGTTGGGATAAGCAAAGAGCTAAAATCAAAATCATCATTATTTTTCCTTAATTACTATTGATTCATGTTGCTTATAGCTAGTTTTTCATTTAACAATATATCACAAGCATCTTTCATGTCATTAATATCCCTCTAAAATACTATAATGGCTTCATATAATATTTTATTAGATGACTAGAGTTTTATTTATCCAATCTACTATTATTGCAGTAGTAGTGGTTTCTAGTTATTCTCATTATTAACAAGTTATGTAATTAAGTCTTTATCTATATCATAAATCATTTCCTTAATATTATATCTGGAAGTAAAATTTCTGGTCTCTAAGTTTATTTTTAATGCTTTGGTTATATATGGTTAAAGGACCATCAGAAAAGCTTTTGTAATTCATACACCCACCGCAAGCATGACAGTACTTCTCCTACACTCTCTCCAACTCTTATTATCCTTAGGAGAAAAATCTGAATTTAAAGAAATATAGTAGTTCCTTATTTAATTTTAGTTTTTAATCATGCTGACTTTTAAATATGCTTTCTGGCCAGGCTATGCTTGTTTTCATATTGAAATTAAGTGGGAATATATTCTTTTACCTTTTTTATTTTCAATCGCATCATATGGCACTTGTGGTTTTTCAGCATTCTCATTCTCTGGGAAAATCCTCCTGCAGATGCAATGCCAAACAACTCTGGATCAATGAAATGAATGAAATTCAGGGAAATTACATCCAACACTCTATCTTTTTTTCTGTGTTGGCTCATTTATTTTGATGAACACAAAGAAACACTTTCTGTATTTCATTCCTCAAAATTGGCAATCTAGCCTCAAAGGAGGTGGGTGGAAATCTCATCATCTGTAATCAGCAGGAGCATGTTTGAAGGAAACCAGGGCAAGAAGTCACTATTCTGTCCAAAACTAAGCAATCTCTGATAGCTTGAGTCCAACAGAACTGACTGAGGAACACACATTCTTACCGGAATAAGCAGCTTTGGAAACTCTGAGGCACAGCCTAAGAACATACATATAATCTAAGAAACTTAAGTGTACTATCCACAAAAAGGCTTCTATCTTTGACTTTGATGAACAGTAGTGAAGGGTAAGGGTTAGTTATAACTTGGTGTGTCTGCCTCATTCACTCTGTTGTGTAACTAACTAAATGCTTGGCCCGATTGCCCTTCAGATTCTTAAATTTGGGGCCAAAGTACTCTAAATTGCAGACAGAAAAATTGCTGGTCTTGACAATAGGGATTACTGGGCAGGATAGGCTGTTGTTCCCTTAATGGAACCTTCTGGCACTGTAGTGAATCTCCATTTTGATGCTAACACAATGGAGATGAGAACACTATCTTTTCTTCACAGGGATGCTAGGAGAATGAAACAAAATGCTCCAGGTTTAATTGCACTTACAAATATTTACTGTCCCAGATATTGTGCTGGGCACTGTAGTAGAGGAGAGCTGCATTCAATTTCTTCAAAATATGAATATGCAAAATTGAGAAGAATCAGGGACTAAAAACAGTGCTGGGAGCACTGAGCTTCGTTAAGGGTGATGGGAAAGTTTGGAAGTGTATAGTTGGAATAGCTGCGCAACGTGATGGACGTAACTGCTGTGTTGTTAGGCGCCATCAAAGCCACCCGACTCTTCACCACCTTCTGCAACAGAACAAAGCCTGTGCAGTGTGGCTCCATCCTCACAATGCCTGCTCGGTTTGAGTCCATTGTTGTCGACCCCTTGTCAATCCATCGTGTTGAAGATCCTCCCCTTTTCTGCTGACCCTCTCCTTTACCGAGTGTGATGTCCTTTTCCAGGGACTGGTCCTGCCTGATAACAGGTCCAAACTAAGAGAGACAAAGTTTTGCCATCCTCCCTTCATATAAGGAGTATTCTGGGTGTACTTCTCCCGAGACAGATTTATTCATTCTTCAGCATAATTGAACACAATTAATGTCACTGAATTATACATGTGAAAAATGTTGAAATGGCAAATGTTGTATTTATAATTACTACAATAAAAAATAGTGCTAATGTTGGAAAGTATGATAATTTTTAAAATCTTTATTTTCTTAGCGATACACAATAAAATGAGAAGTAATGATGTCTAGGACTTGCTTTAAAATATTTCCCTTCTCCCAAAAACCAAAAACACCCATAGCCATTGAGTCAATTCTGACTCATAATGACCCCCATTGGATTTCCAAGGCAGTAAATCTTTACAGAAGTAGATTGTCTCATTTCTCACAGGGCAGCTGGTAGGTTTGAACTGCCAACCTTCAAGTTAGCAACCAAATGCCTTACTCACTATGCCACCAGAGTTCCTTGCCCCAAGGAATGAAGAAATATATTAAACATGGAGTGAGATATGCTTGGTTGATGTCTGACTGGGTGCCAGAAAATTTTTAAAAAATTCTAAATTCACCTGAAACAAAACTTTAGGTGAAACTCCCATCAGATATATCCCTGAAATATATATAAACTGAATTTTGCAAAAGCTACTATCTTAAAGGAATGAGACACTTTGTATATAAAGGTATACTCCAGTGCTTTCTTGGGTACTTGTGTGGAAAAAAATTATTTGCTTTGAAAATGTGGGTTTTCAGAGGAGGCCTTTACAAAGGACACATGCATTTTTTTTTCCAGCAAAGTGAAAATCAGATAGTGCATAGTGATTTTAAGATTCTCGTTCTGTGAAGATTTACCTCAATTCTGTTGTGACTTCTAGATTCTGAGCCTAGGCACAGACATAAGTATTACCCATCAGTGTTCCGTTTCTGACTTTCTCTCTCTTCATGTTGTTCTGCAAACAGATGATCTTTATTTAAAAGGAAGGATGAAGTCATTAACTCCTCAGGTAATGTAAGCATGTGAAATAGATTATTTTTCTGAGGAAAAAGCCAGAGGTGATGTTGGATAGATAAGGTCAGTGATGAATGACTCCCCCTAAGTTCCCTGTCACAGGATGTTCTGGAGAAAAGCACTGGACCAAGAATGAGAAGCCCAGAGTCCTGGTCCCTACTTTACTTCTACTAACTGCCTTATTTGGATAAAAGACCCATCTGCCTGATTTCTTCATCTGGAAAAGGTGTATCACACACCTCCTCTTGTACTGTGGTATGGTTGTGACAATTGGTTTTGGTCTTCTAGTGCTGCTCTAGCAGAAAATACCACAGGTTGATGGCTTGAACAAATAGGAGTTTATTCTCTTACACTTTAGAGGCTAGAAGCCCAAGTTCAAAGTGCCAGCTCTAGAAATGGGGTGAAAGCCCCTCGGCTTTGGGCTTCAGCTCTGCTTCTTGCTCCTGGCCCACTGAAGCTGAGGTGTCTCTTATCTCAGGCAGCTGCTGGCTGCCAAGGCTGACAAACCCAAGGCTAACAAGTAAAATGGCACAATCCTCAAATTATCAAGCAACATGGCAGGCCATTAGTTTAAGTTCAGAAACAGTCTCAAGATCAGCAGCAAACAAGGCAGGCCACTGAGATGAAGACTCAGCCAAATGCAGGATCCAGATGTGCCAATAAAACTCAAGACCTTTCTCAAACCATCTTTTTAGATACTGTAAGCAGACCATACCCTTAAGGCAACTATTCAGCTGATCACAGTAGATTGCACCATGGAGCTGATGACCAGTCTCATCCTGGGGAATACTATATCCAGCTTCCCAGCCACTCAAAGCCAGGCGTAGCCAAGTTGACACATAACCTCAACTACCACACAATCCAATAGATAGACACTCACTGGCAAACTCAAAGATAATTAGAATTGAGAATTCTTTCTTGAAATGTTCTGTGAGCAAAACAGTTAATTGCTTCTTGATAAGCATTTTCCAAAAATAACCCAACTCACTGCCATTGAGTTGATTCCAACTCAAAGTGATCCCCTTTGGGTTTCCAGGGCTGTAAATCTTTATGGAAGCAGACTGCCCCATCTTTGTTCTGCAGAGAGGCTGGGGGGTTCGAACCACTGACCTTTTGGTTAGCAGCCAAATGCCTTAACCACTACACCACCAGAGAGTTTATTTATCTGAGTGTTAATGTAGATAAATCTTTCAAACATGTTTTGCTCTTCCTATAAGGGAAAGAAAAACATCACCCACACTGTAGAGGCTAACTGACTTATGGATGGTTTAAGACTACAAAAAGGAAAGTATTTACTACCTACATACCTATAGCACAGCAGATACCATGTCTCATATGGGTATTATTATTATAAATTCTCTTGTAGTAATATGTGGTAGGTAGAATAGTCCACATTTTCTAGATGAGAAAACTGAGTCTCAGAGGGTTAAAACTCGCCTGCGGTCAACAATAAATTCTAAAACTGGGATTTTTGAATGTAAGTTTGTCTGATTAAGAAAAAAGTCTGTTTCTTCTACACGCAACACTTTCCATTAGTAGATTTCCTCACTGGAAGAGGATCCACTCTTCTGAATTTAAGATCAGTCCATTGCGTAACTTTATGACGTATGTGGAACTTGAGAAAAACTTGCTGGGGAACAAACTCTTCAAAACTTTCATATCTCAAGGCAACTTCCTTGAAGTTAAAAATCATACTTGAATAGTCTGCTCGGTAAATTCAGCCTACTCTTCGCCCATTCATGATGATGAATGGCACAGTCTTGGATATTTGTGTGCATTCAAATTACAAAGTGGCTCTGAGGCATATTATTTAAAACCTAATTTTCAAACAAACCAAAACTGTCAGAAGTTTTGAGGTTTTGCCAAAACTTCAGGCCCACTACTTCCAAGTATTAGGAGAATAAGTGCCACCTCATAAAGTTGTGGGAATTCAAGTCTGTTTGAATCCTGAGAGATACTCTAAGAACTCTGTAAATAATTGATTATTTATATTTTTAATTAAGTATAATGAAAAATGTTTGTTGTAGAATTGCTCTTACTATCTCCTGAGGCAGAAGAAAATGACAGTAACTCAGTAATACATTAGAGCTGGGGGCAGTGGTGGTTCTCCCCTTCTATGTGGGAGACCTATGTTCCATTCCCAAGACCTCATGTGAAGCCACAACGCATGTGTCAGTGGACAGCAGCTAACAATTGGTTAGTGTTAGCGAAGGTTGAAGGCCTTCATGAGGGTGATTGCAGAAGATGTGAATGGCTGTGGCATTTCCAGTAAGCCTCTCATCTCTCCAGGAGTTTAGGTTTACTTCTGTATGGTGGAAAAGTCAAATCCTGCCTCAAATTCATCCACATAACAGAGAAGCAGAGACAACCCTATGTCTTGCCCTTTAGCACCAATTTCTGGAGGTGTTAATGCACTCTTCTTCTCCCACCCTCCCTCTCATTTCCTGATTACTAGTCTTCATCACAATGGAAGTAAAGAAGGAAGGCCAAGAACTTTTTTTCTCAGCCAACTCTTTCCTTCTGAGATTCTATCTTACAAGAAATTTCTAATCTTGTGCCAGTGACAGAACAAATATATAAATTTTGTAGGTTTTGCCCAGCATAAACCAATGCCTCACAAACTCTCTAAGTACTCTTAGCCTCTCAGGCTCCACATTGACTGATGGTTCATAAAACAAAACTCACCTAATTCTGTCAGATCGTCCTGCGATTCAAGAATATATATATCATCAAATGAGAGTTTCATTTTAAGCATTGCTTTATGGTGGAGTGAGGTCCTGTTGGTTTGAACAACAGTTGGATATATTTTGTTATGGTGTTGGAAGATCACTAGAATCATTATGGTTTTGATGTTTAAAGGAACTTGTTTTCCAGAGCATGAATTTTGGAGCAGACATCTTTTTGTTGCCTTCTTTAATGTAGGTAAAGCTTTTTGAAATCAATCTTTAGACCAGAGACGTTTTGGACTGCACAACCCAAATTTGTGGCTATCTTACCATTCCAGTGGATGTAGCTGTGCCTTTTTATTCATGAGCTGAAACTGTTCAAATGCATTTAAAAGAGACCAGTATTGGGTCAGGACTGAGTCGGGTTTCCCGATAGGCTTTTCCATGTCATAAAATTCGTGCATCAAAGATTGAAGCTCAGGACTAGTAGATGGGAAGAGCTGAGAAGGAATATTCAAAGACAGAATATCAGAATAAGTTGTGGAAGATAAATAAAGATGCAGCATTACTACGGGGCTTTATGTTTGGTCAGGTCTTTAAAAACTCACATATTTATTAGAAACACATGAGTCAATATCATAATTTAATTTTCTGTGTGCCTAAGGCATTTGACTGGTAACCAGAAGGCTGGCAGTTCAAACGGACCAGCCACTCCTCGACCGGTGACTCCTCGGAAGGAAGGTTGGTCAATCTACTTCCGAAGTGATACTGCCTCAAAAACCCAAGGAGGGGTCACTATGAGTCAGATCCGACTCAATTGCAGTGTGTTCTGTTTTTTTTTTTCCATGCAGTTGTCAAAGCAAATAAGACTTTATATAAGGGATCAATTTTACTGATGATCTTATTTTCACAGAGTGGATTTTCCTGGTCTTGCTATTAATAGTGGTGGATTTCTTCTTCCTGCTCTACCAAACCAGTTCCTACACAGCTGATTCTTACTCATGGTGACTCTGTGTGTCAGAGTAGAACTGTGCACTGTACGCTTCTCAGTAGCTGATGTTTTCAGAAGCAGATGGCCAAGCACTTTCTTCCGAGGCACATCTGGGTGGACTCCAAACTCCTACCTTTCAGTTGACAGCTGAGCATGTTAACTGTGTGCACCACGACGGCACTCCCTTCCTGCTACAGACACCTGAAAGGAGCCCAGTATCTGAGTGGGAGTCTGAAGAGAAAGAATCCTCTCCAATACAAGTGAATTATGGCAGGGTGAAGACTATCCATCTCACCAAACCAAACCAAACTATGGTGAGCCTCTTTCTACTCTAAGAGTCAGGAACTTGGAGTTTGCCTTTTCTTTCCTGCAAAGTCATAATTCAATTCCTGCTTGCAACATGCTGAGAGAGACTCTCTGCATTCACATGTCTTCAGTTGTGAATGCCTGAAGGGTGAGGGTAGATCACTTTGATCATTTTGTATAGTATTAAGCCCAATTCTGATTGTAACACTTAATATACTTAAGTTAATTAAATTATAATCTATAAATTAATTTTTCTTTGAGGCAATATGCTTACAATGAATGCTCTAGAATATGGGACTAAATTACGGGCAATAAAATATTCATTAATTAACTTTGTAAATAGGTTATAACTCATACAAGTAGCACATGAATAGACAGATTTAATACATAATTTTTTTTACATGGAGAGGATTTTATTATTATTATTATTATTTAACTTTTTATTGTGATTTTGTTGAAAGTTTCCAGAGAAAATTGGTTTTCCATTCCACAATTCATACACACTTTGTTTTGTGACAGTGATTGCAATCCCCAGTGTAACAAAACTTCCCACCTCCTCCCTGAGTTTACCTTTCTTTCCTATCCATTCTAGCCTTCTGAGCTTTATCTCTGGCAAATGCTGCCCTTTTGATCTCTCAGGGTTGATTGTTCTAAGGAGTGCTTACCTCTCTGGTGTTATTGTTCACCTCATAGGTCTATCTATTTGGCTGCGAGTTGAGCCACTGGAGTAAGGTCAGTCCTAGACCTGAAAGGTGACTAATGACCATAGTCTAGAGGGTTCCACCTGTCTTTATCAGACCAGTAAGCCTGGTCTTTGCCAAGATTTTGAGTTTTGTTCTGTATTTTTCTCCCACTCTATCCAGGATCTCCTATTTTGATCTCTTCCAGGATGGTTGACAGTGGTAGCCGGGCACTGTGTAGTTCTTTAGTTTTAGGGTCATGTAGGCTGAGGGTTTCATGGTCTAATTGTTTCCACATGTCTTTGGTTTCCTTCACTCTTCTTTGCTCCAAACCAGGAGAGACCAATAGCTGTATCTTAGATGATTGCTCACATACTTTTAAGACCCCAATCACTATTTACCAAAGTTGGATGTAGAGCAAAGTTTTGTGCACTATATTATGCCAATTGTGCTCGATGGCCCCCTTGACTATGGTCCCAAGCCCACAGGCCCAGTGACTCACTCCCTTAAGGTGTTTGGTTATGGCTAAGAAGTTATCATAACTCTGCCCTCTGTTAGCTCTACTATATATAGTATTTTTATAGCTACTATATATGTGTATTTTTATAGCTCATACACATACATAAATACATAGATTTTTAAAATAAGCATCATTTTAATAATGAATTTTAAAATGCTATTTTAGAAAGTTTTGCATGAACAAACCTTAGGTGGAACAAATCTACTATAGTCCATCTATGTAATCGGAGGAACTGGAAACAAAGCAAGTTCTAAGCGTGCACATTCCTGTACAACAAATTGTCCTTTGATATCGACCAATAAATGAACAGAACCCAGGAAAATGCATAGAAGACAAAGTGCCATTGATTTTTTGTAGGGTGAAATCAGCTGGATAAAATTTATTATAATTACTTACTTTAAAACCTGCTATACAGTTAGACAAATTAAAATTTAAGTTTTTTTCTATACTTATTCTTGCTATATCCAGTTATAATTGATTTTACATAAACGAAAAGAGAATGATAAGAAAAATAAATGTTCGTTACATGGTGAAAGTCCCAAAGATAAATGCAAAATTTCTTCAGAACAATTTTACTTTGGAGAACTGTCAAATCATGGTAACTATCCTAATCCTGTACTCTTTTACCTTTAATAAGTGTGTGATTATTTGCAAACTCTTAAAATAAAGCATATTGATTCTGCTCATCTTAATATTCAGATCTTTGAAAAGAGGAAAGATGTTTACACATACTTCTGCTTCTTAAGGAAATATCATCATCATTTTCAAGTCAAAAGCAAGTAGTTTATGGGTAATTTACTATAATTTCATAAATCAAGAGTAATCAAATGTCACTTTTGTTTTACCAGTTGGAATTGTCCCAGACTCCCAAGTTCCTTTAAGAAGGTCATAATTGAGTCAATATCCACTAAAGATAGGCATGGATTTAGTTCCTTTGGATAGTTTTCACTCTATATAATGAAAAAAACAAACAAACAAATTCTTAAGCAACTACTACAGAGTCAAGCTATGTTTATGAATTTATGAATTGCTTCTCACTTCATAAATTAATCAAATTTTGGACTCTATAAATAGATGAGCTAATTAAAGCTAAAAATTATATAGTAACTTCAGCTTGTTACAGCACATATCCCAATATAAGGAAACTTCATATTTGAGCAGGAAGACCTGGGTGAAATAGATCATGGTGCTTTCTTTGGTCATGAGATTGAGGAGATGGGCACAAAAGGTCAGAATGAGTGTTCTAGCCAGTTTGAGACACAGGAGGAGTCTTCTTCAGCCTCCAATGCACTAGACATCAGAGCAGCAAGTGATATTACATGTGAACCTCACGTATGGAGCATTACCTTTTGGGAGTTTCAAAAGTTCTAGTAAACAGCAATTTCCCACCTTTCTACATACCCATTTCTTTCCAAAGCAACTTTGGGACAGAAGGTGCATGTATTACCTTTTTTTTTTTTTTCTGGGTGAACTGGTTCTAATAGTTTTAATGACAACCAACCCACCAGTAGAAAAGGAAAACAGAAAACTAGGGGAACAAGTCAACAGAATCGCAAAGAACAGCATAGAAGGTCATGTTGAAGCTCTCCCAAACGTCTCTTCAGAGCATCAATGTTTGTTCATGAGACCTTACACGTTCTACTCTTCCAGATCTCTGAATATGAGTTTCAGAACATAAGATATATAGGGAATCATACTATACATACTTGGTAACCTGTAGATATATTCTAATGTCTCAGGAAATCTTGCACTAACGTGCTACCAAAATTAACCTCGACAGCACACAACAACAACAACAATCCTGGACCATTGTACTCTAGTCATCAACATTAAACGAAACATGTTAACCAGATGCAACTGCTTAATAAGTTTAAAGTTCTAACTCAAGCTCCTGATATCAATCTAGAGCCCTCACTACTAGCTTGTTGTTGTTATGTGCCGTGGAGTCGGACCTGACTCATAGCAACCCCTCCTTGGGTTTCCGAGGCAGTATCACTACGGAAGTAGATTGCCCAACCTTCCTTCTGAGGAGTGGCTGGTGGGTTTGAACTGCCAGCCTTCTGTTTAGCAGTCACGTACCTTAGGCACCATGCTACCAGAGCTCCTCTCTATAGCTTAGACTGCCTTTAAAAAGTTCTATCATTTCTCTTAAAGCATTCTACAACATAAAATATATATTATTCCTAATATCCACCAAAGTGCCCATAATTTCACATAATCAGTCACCCACAAACTTAAAAAGCAAACCAAACCCATTGCATCAAGTCAATACCGTCTCATGGTGACCCTATATGGTACAGAGTAGAACTGTTCCGTAGGGTTTTCTTGGCTATAATCTTCATGGAAGCAGATACCAGGATTTTCATGGATCTATTGGATGGATTAGAACCACCTATTTTTAGGGTAGCAACTGACACAAACTGCTTGTGCCAACCAGGACCACCTTACAACCTTAGTTGACATAAAAATAATATTGATTTTCAGGTCAGCAAAATATTAAGATATATAGTATATTAAATCTCCATTAATTTCAAATAATTTTCAAGTTATTTAATTGTATAATAAAGAAAATGGTGCCTCTAAAGAATGACTTGCAATAAGTTCATCAGTATGCAAATATGCACTTACTTTAAATACACCTGACCTGTAAAGTCTCTGAAATATATCAGAAAATAGAGAAAATGAAGATTCATTAGACAAGAGAAAATTGAAAGTATCTCTTAAAAGGAATTCTTCTGTGTTTTGGTCCTCAAAATCCGTATTATCATCACTTTGAAAATTCAAATTCTCATGCACCTTCAAAAAAAAAAAAAAAAGCACAGTAAATATTTTGCATTGATTTACTTTTAATACATGGAATTACTTCTAAGATGTGATTTATTTTCTTTTAAATTATAGATCAGAACTGACATCTAGTGGTCTTTCTGGAGGTCAGCAATTTTATAAATGTAAGTAATGTTCCTTAGAAGATGCTGTTCTTTAATGTTAAGAAAATTAATGTATCATAAAGTCATATTAGTTTATCATGAAACTATTATTGAAGAATTTGTTTATTGAAGATTATAAATAACACTTATGAACAATAAATTTTATAAAGCATTATAGAATCTAGTAGATATGTGTACAAAATAATCATTAGAAGTAGATTCATAACTTAAAATTTTAATGATAAATTTTTGAGTTATTCAACCAAATGTCTGAGCCACACATATTGCAATCAGTATCTTCATATGATAGTGTGAGAGTGAGTCAATGCAGTACAAACATGAATTTTCATTACACATAATTTTATTTGTCTCCACTTCCCTTCTTCCAACCCCATATCCCAATACAGAACTTTCTATGGACTGATTCAATCAGTTTTTGTTTTTTCAGTTTCCTAGCTAGTTGAGCTGAAAAATAAAATAGGGAGAGATGGTCTGAATGAACTAGTTTGATTAGAGAGGAAGAAAAAGAATCAGCGTGTACATAATGATATATTATAAGAAGCCCTGTAATTTACACAAATTCATACTAGCAAAAATATTTTTAAAATTTCTCTGACTTTTTAATTCAAACACACAGTAATTTAAAATTAAATGTCTTTTGTAAAACCACATGAATAAATTGGATAATCTGCTATTTTCTGGCATCTCCTATCTGCTTTTCTATTGGCTCATACATACTTTTTTCCATTAACACATACTTGACTTTATATAACATCTATGTCACAAACAGTGACTAAATCATGTTAAAATTCAAGTATATTCTACATAACCACATAGTAGGCATTAGAACTCAAATAATAGATTCTCTGTTGTTGTTATATGCCGTTGAGTCAGATCCAACTCATAGTGACCCCTCCTTGGGTTTCCAAGGTGGTATCACTACGGAAGTAGATTGCCCAACCTTCCTTCTGAGGAGTGGCTGGTCGGTTTGAACCTCCAGCCTTCTGGTTAGCAATCAAGTGCCTTAGGCACTATGCTACCAGAGCTCCCTCTACATATTAGCTAATTTTCTGAACCATAGGAAATATAATTCTCCAATGTCTTTGTTGCAAATTCACTTTACTGATTCAAGACTATGCATGACAATACCACTACCACACAGGAAAGATGCAGATCTTTGAGCAAAATATAGAAGGTCATACTCACCTGGAGAATTACAGGGTAACTGAATCGGCCATAAGCAATGTCAAAAGTTAAAAGTTGAAAACATAATCTGCATCTGAAATAGAAACACACATTTACATTTGAAATTTATTTAAATAAAATATATTTAAAAATATATTCTATTTGGTTCATTTACTGTGTCATTTGGGGTCAAGTTATTAATAAATGTTGTTGTTGTTGTTAGGTGTCACTGAGTTTGTTTTGACTCATAGGGACCCTGTGTACAACAGAACAAACACTGCCTGGTCCTGCACCGTCCTCACGGTCATCGCTGTGGTTGAGCCTATAGCTGCAGCCACTGTCAGTCCACCTCATTGAGGTCCTCTGCTTTTTCGCCGAACCGCTCCTTCACCAAGTCCTTCTCCAGGGACTAGCACTTCCTGATAACATGTCTGATGGGATAAATGTTTTTTGCATGTGGCAAGGACTTAAATTTTTTAGGGCCAAAGGGTGGAATGTCCTAGATTAAATTGTCTCCCCTCAAAATCTGAGTATACTCTGTTAGGCCATGATTCTCAGTGGTTTGGCAGTTAAGTAATGATGTACTTTGGCAGTTATGTAATGATGTGATCATACTCCATGATGTGATCTGATGTGATCAGCTGATCAGTTGTAAGGGTATTAGTGTGGGAGGCAATACTCTTACTCAGGACACAGCCCTGATCCAATGTTAAGGGAGTTTCCCTGGGGTGTGGCCTGTATCACCTTTCGTCTTACAAAAGATAAGAGAGAGAAGCAAGCACAGGAAGAGGGACCTACTACCATCAGGAAAGAAGGGTTGGGTGCAGAGCATGTCCTCTGGACCTGGGGTCCCTGTGCTGAGGACCTTTAGATCCAGGGAAGATTGATGCCAAGATATATGGGGATCTCTGAGGATTGCTGGGCTCACAGATGGAGAAAAGAGACAAGAACCTTCTTCCAGAGTCAACAGAGAGAGAAGGTCTTCCCCTAGAGGTGGCACCCTAAATTTAGACGTTTAGCCTCCTAAACTGTGAGAAAATAAATTGATCTGTTAAAGCCACCCACTTCTGGTGTTTCTGTTATAACATCACAAGATAACAAAGACAAAGTCTAATATACGTGAGATGAATTATCACCATATTTTCTTCTAAGCAAGGTGCATTGCCTAGAGTACTTGATTGCTATCCAGTAGGTTGGCAGTTAAACCCACCAGCCACTTCAGAGGGAAGATGGCACAATCTACTTTCGTGAAGATTTACTGCCTCAGAAACACAATAGGGGTCGCTATGAGTTAGAACCAACTTGATGGCAGTGAGTTTTGGTTTTGCTTCTAAGGAGTAGTCTGGCTGTACTTCTTCCAACACCGATTTGTTTGTTCTGGGAGTCCACAGCACTTTCAGTATTCTTTGCCAACACCATAATTCAACGGCATCAATTTCTTTGTTCTTCTTAATTCATTGTCCAGTTTTCGCAAGCATATGAGGTGATTGAAAATACCATGCTTGGGTCAGGTGTACCTTAGTCCTCAAAATGAAATCTTTGCCTTTTAACACGTTAAAAATGTCTTTTACAGCAGATTTGCCCAGTGCAATATGTCATTTGATTTCCTGACTGCTCCTTTCACGGATGTTGACTGTGGATCCAAATAAAATTAAATTCTTGATAACTTCAATCTCTTCTGTTTATCATGATGTTGCCTATTGGTCCAGTTGTGAGGATTTTTGTTTTCTTTACTCACCAACCACTCCTTGGAAAGAAGGTTGGGCAATCTACTTCTGTAGAGATACCGCCTTGGAAACCCAAGGAGAGGTTGCTATGAGTTGGGTGTGACTCGATGGCAGTTTTTTGGTTTTTTTTTAATGTTGAAATATAATCCATACCTCAGGCCATAACTTTACCTTCATCAGTAAGTGCTTCTTATTATAATAACTAATACAGTTAATTGTCAATATCTGTAATAATCAAAGAGATCAGTGGTTTGGATAATCTAAAATTGCATACAATTTACTTTCAGATTGGTAGTCTTTTTTGTTCTTTACAAAAAATATACCACTGCCACTGCCACTGCCACTGAGTTGATTCCAACTCATAGCAACCCCCACTGGGTTTCCAAGGCAGTAAATCTTTACAGAAGTAGATTGTCCCATCTTTCTTCCATGGAGCCCCTGGTGGGTTTAGACCACCAACCTTCTAGTTAGCAGTCAAATGCCTTAGGCACTGGGCTGCTAGAGCTCCTTACACAAAATACGAATGTATCTAGATATTCCTAAGACATTAAATTAAACATTGAACTTACTCCATGAAAACTTCCTCCACTCCTATATGCTAGCCATTTTGCCATTTTTATCTACATACAAAGCATTATAAAGCTTAAATTGTGGTGCTGCTTTTTTTTTTTTTTTTTTTTTTGATGTTCTGTTGTCAGGTGCCCTTGAGTCAGCTCCACCTCATACCAATCCTATATACAACAGATTGAGCAGATTGAAGCACCGCCCAGTGCTGTGCCATCCTCACAACCCTTTCTGTGCTTGAGTCCATCATCACAGCCACTGTGTCAGTCCATCTCGTTGAGGTTCTTCCCCTTTTTCACTGACCCTCTACTTTATCAAACATGACATCATTTTCCAGGCGCCAGTCCCTTCTGACAACATGGCCAGAGTAGGTGAGCAAAGTCTGGCCATTCTCGCTTCTACAGAACATTCCAGTTGCACTTCTCCAAGGACAGATTTGTTAGTTCTTCTTTCTGGCAGTCCATGGTATTTCCAGTATTCTTCACAGACACTACTATTTAAAGGCATCAGTTCTTCTGTAGTCTTCCTTATTCATTATCTAGTTTCACATGCACGTGAGACTACTGAAAAGAGGATGGCTTAGGTCAAGCGCACCTTAGTCTTCAAAGTGACATCTTTGGTCTTGAACACTTTAAAGAAGTCTTCTGCAGCAGATTTGCCCAATGCCATAAATCCTTTACTTTCTTGACTGCTGCTTCCATGGGCGTTGATTATGGGTCCAAAGAAAATGAACTCCTTGACAACCTCAGTCTTTTCTCTATTTATCATATTGTTACTTATCGCTCCAGCTGTGAGGATTTTTGTTTTCTTTATAATGCCAAGTATGTAAGATAGAAATCACTAAGCTTCAAAGGGAACCACAATTAAAACAATTTTTAAAATTTATGCTTTATTTCTTGTCACCACTGTTTAGATACTAACGAGCTTGTAATATACTCTGAAGTTTTTTAGGATTTATAAATTAGGAAATATATGCTTAGAAGATTTTATTTTTATAGTGAGATAAAATTTTCCCATACTTGTGATAATTAAGATATATTTTTTACTAACAATCAATTTTCAGAAAGTAAGTTTTTCTTTTTCCTTTTTTCACATTGTTGCTGTTGTTATGTGCCATTGAGTCAGACCCGACTCATAGCAACCCCTCCTTGGGTTTCCAAGGCAGTATCACTATGGATGTAGATTGCCCGATCCTCCTTCTGAGGACTGGCTGGTGGGTTTTTCACATTAGTGATTGTTTTTACCTATTGAAGGCCTTTGGTCCTGGAGTAGACGTTTCACTGAAGACTTCAGCTGCTAGCAAGAGTTTGCTTACTGCTTCCTTCATATTGCCAAAAGCCTGAAGAGGCGAACTGGCCCTCAGGAATGTCTCAAAAAATGTTTGCAGCTGTAAACAAAGAAAATTATTCACATATTGAAATAATTTCTATTTCTCTATCATTTCAAAGGTGAACAATTTGGAGGATTTCTTTAGGTTATCTCTCTACACTGGAAAAAACAAGCAAACAAACAAAAAGCCTCCTTCAACAGGAAAATTTGATAATCTAAAATATACCTATACACACACACACACATACATTTATATATATGATAATAGAAAAAAATACATATATATATATATAGAAAGAGAGAGAGAGAGAGTCAATCTCTGGGTAGTACAAATGGTTAATTGACTGACTTCTAACCAGAATATTGGAGGTTAGGATCCATCTAGAAACACCTCAGAAGAAAGGCTTACCAATCTACATCTAAAAAAAAATCAGCCACTGAAAAACCGACAGAGCACAGTTGTACTCTGGCACACGTGAGGTTGCCATTAGCTGGAACTGACTCATCAGCAACTGATATATCTATACACAGATATGGGGTCTGGGGCCATCTAATGCTTCCAACTCATCGTGAGACTCTATAGGACAGAGTAGAAGTGCCCACAGGGTTTCCAAGGCTGTAATCTTTATGGGAGAAGATCTCCAGTTCTTTTCTTCTATGGAGCAGTATACTAATGGGTTAGAACAGCCCACCTTTCAGTCAGCAGCTGAGTGCCTAACCATTGCACAACAGGGCTCCTTCTATAGACATAGCTAGATAGATATCTATATATACCTATCTGTATCTATCCAGAAAAGTTTAAATATTTTGTCATTGAAACTTCTTCAGAAGTGTTTATTCTCTTTTTTTTTCCCCCTTCTTCCTTATTTCATGGCATCTGATCATCATAAGTGCAGAGGAAATATAATAGGGCTGTGATCAGAACTCCCATGTTAAAGTTGTTAGTCTACTAAGTGAACTTGGGCGTGCCAATTACTCCTTTGAATCTGTGTATCCTTCTCTGTAAAACAGGGATAATAACTACTGACAAGAGTGCTGTAGAGCCTAATTACAAGAAAATGTGTATGAAAGCCACTATGAAGAATGAAATTCAAATCTGATTTTTTTTTTTTTTTTAAAAAAAAAAACCATTATCAATTTTCTGCATGCTTCAACAAAAATAACCATATTGAAGTCACTTACTTTAGTTCATTTTGGTATGCGAGATCTAGCCAATTGGAGGAGGACCTAAGAGAATCTCAGTGTCCTATTGAAATTTTAATTTATGTGGCTAAAGTGGAAGGAACAGTATTATAACAGGGGGAACAATGCTCAGGTCCATGTCTTTTAAAAAACACTACAGTTGGCATCACAAATAATTACTTTTGTTTGCTTAATATTGATCACAACAACAGAATCACCTCTTTAGAATGCTCAGCATCAAAGTTCAAGTCAGGTATTTTTTAAAGTACAAAAACAAATCTCACATGGATAAACATCATCTTTAAAAGACGAAGAACAAAAAATATTTTTTGAAGAAACATGCAGCAGGGATTCTACTAATGTTTTTGAATAAGCAAAACTAAATCTATCTGAATTACTGAATATTGCAAAGTGAAAAGCTATTTTTTTTTTTTTGTCACCATGATACTTAAGGACAGAAATTGGCACTTGAAGGTAAATGTATCTTTAAAATACACAAGTAAAATCTCCCCAAGAGAAATAAATATTGACTTCATAAAGTCTTACCAGCTGAGAAAGGGAAACCTAGTGAGAGCTGTATTTTGAGACCCTAAGAACATATCATTAGCATTTGGCAATGGGGATGTTTTTCCATTTCACAAAAGAAAATGAGTGTAATAAGTGCATGATCAAAAGAAAATAAATTAATGCTAAGGCTGAAAATGTTAACACCCTTGAGTCAATGTAGAGTAACGTAATATTTTTCCAAATAAAGTAAGTCATAATCACTTAGTTCACCATATTATGTAGAAAAGATTATTAATTCTATTATTCCATTTTCTCATTTTAATGTTTTTGAGTGTCACAGGGGTTGAGGTTAATAATATGAGAGAGAAGGAAATAAATGTCTGTCATATAAAATATATAAGATTATCAAATTATGTTGTCCATGGGGAAGAATAACTAGTATATTACTGTTTAGAGTTGTATTTATTCTTCTACCGTGGAAATAATTATCTTAATTTCTGAATGTGATGTGAGCATTGAATATGGACTGCCACTACATCAATTCAGATCCATTTATTCAAGTTTTAATGAGAAATCTACCATGTGGAAAGCACTGTGCTGTCTGTCCTCTTTGGAGGATGAAGTACAAACCACTGTGGTAACACCATAGACTTTAAATGTAAGCAGCCCCAGCCTCACCTCTGGCCCTGCATGTTGCTGTTAATAACAATACCTACTTTATAGAGAAAATGTGCATATGGCACACAGCTGCCCGGAACATGTCCATACTCAGTAAACATTGTTCCTGTTGGATGACGTCCAGTCCATTCTGACTCATCGTGACCACATGCGACAGAGTAGAACTGCCCCATAGGATTTTCTAAGCTGCAATCTTTACAGGAGCAGATGGCCAGGTCTTTCTCCCACAGAGCTGCTGATGTGTTCAAACCATCAACCTTTTGGTTAGCAGCCAAGTGCTTAACCACTGTACCACCAGAGTTCCTTCAATAAACATTAACTAACTTTATTTTTGTTAAATGAATCAAAACATCTATAGCCATCAAAGGAGATTTCAATTAAAGTTGTTCTTGAACCCAGATTCTTGTAACAAAATGTTTGTTGTGGAAAATCCCAACTGCCTCTAGAAATTCAAACATATTTGTAACACCAATTAAGAAACAGCATTTTTAAAATGTATTATAAACCTTTAAAGAGAAATGTTTGGTAAAGAGAGAAGATAGAAGTATGATGGTTAAATGGACCTGTGCTTTGCCCTCAAACAGAAGTGTAAGAGGAGAGTTGGAGGACCCGTACAACTGGCTTTTCTCCAGAGCTTCAAACTGGTTCAAAATGGTTCAGTAACTGCTGTCAGAAACAAGGGCTGCTTCCGCATTGCATAGCAACCCATTCTGTTGCCTGTGATATTTTGAAAAAAATTAAGAAACAGACAGCTGTGCCCTGCTCAGAGATGGCAGCTGACCAAGCGCCTTTCACTGTGTGTTGCTTTCCAGAGTCCTGCCAATAATCCCATCTCTCCTCTCAGGCTCCTGAAACTTTCAAGAAGGATTGTGGCAACACTTTTGGAGAGCAACATTATCAGAAGGACTCTGGAGAGCAACACACATTGAAAGAAGCAGTTGGCAGCCATCATTGACTGGACACAGCTGTTTGTTTCCTACTTGGATCAAAATACCACAAGCAACAGATTCGGTCACAATGCAGTGTGTCTGCCGCCCTTGTTTACGAAGGCAATTACTGAACTGTTTGAACCAGTACAAAGCCCTGCTTTTCTCTCATTTCCCTAAGAACAACTTGTTGAAAGAAAGACTAACATTAATTAACAATCATGAAAGCAGAGGAATCAAAACATAACTGTCTTTATAAATAGAAGTGTGAAGAGGAGAGAAATGGCACTCAAAAAGGAAAAGTTAAAGGAGTGTTCCTTGTTTTATTTTGTATTAGTTTTGTTCCATTTTTATCTCATTTGTTTCTATCTCACTGCATGCATTTCCATTTATCTAATCCTTCAATTAAAAGAAAATTCTAGATGAGAGGGACCCCTTCTATTTGACTTATATGATAGAGTGTCAAACATATGCCCAAAATGGTAATGTCATATAAGCATGTAATAGGTATTCTTTTAAAATCAGCAATTTTCAGTAACTTACTCAGAGAGGGCACAATACTTCTATTAGTTCTTGTAACTAAATTCACTTACATTTGTTGTTGTTGTTGTTGTTAGGTCCCATTGAGTTGGCTTCGACTCACAGTGACCGTACGTACAACAGAACGAAATCCTACCCCATCATGCATCATGCTCACAGCCTTGCACTTCCTCCAACTGACTTTTTGCTGGTTCTTCTGGCAGCCCATGGTACTGCCAATATTTTTTGCCAGAAGTGGTCACTTAGATTAGTTGGACTATTTGTGTGTGTGTGTGTTTGGTTATATTGCAATGTATTACTCTAATTGTATTTCCTTGGTCAAATTATTTGAGTTCTGTATGTCTCAGCATCTTCATATGTAACAATAAGAAAACTGTGGTCCATGATCTCAGTAGACAATGCCAAATCTGAAATTATTGTATATGAATTCTATTTAAAAGCTATCAGAACATGAAAAGTATTTTTCACTCAGGAGCTTTCTAAATTCAAGCACAAATACCTGAAGGAGCTCTTTTTCTGCTAACTTAAAACAAGCCCCAACTCAAATATCAAGAAGAATTCTCTTTCTCCATATTACGCCTACTAATCAATGTTTTCAAGTTAAATAACTGTAAGAGTATTAAGCAGAGACTATCCGAAATATGTTTACTTGTGTTTTATTGGCTATGTAAAGGCATTCAACAATGCAGATCATAACAAATTGTAGATAACATTTTGAAAAATGGAAATTCCAGAACACTAAATGTGCTCATGTGGAACCTGTACATAGCCCAACATATAGCTGTTCAGAGTAAAAGGTTACTGCATGGTTTAAATCAGAAAAGGTGTGTGTTAGGGTTGTATCCTTTCTTCATACGTATTCAATCTGTATGTCAAGCAAATAATCTGAGAAGCTAGACAGTATGAAGAAGAATGACATGAAGACTGGAGGAGGACTCATTAACAACCTGAGATATGCAGATGACACAACCTTGTTTGCTGAAAGAGGATCTGAAGCACTTACTGATGAAGATCAAAACTACAGCCTTCAGTATGGATTACACCCCAATATAAAGAAAACAAAAGTCCTCACAACTAGATAAGCAACATCATGATAAATGGAGAAAAATATTGACATTGTCAAGGATTTCATCTTACTTGAACTCACAATTAACGCTCAGGGAAGTAGCTGTCAAATAAATCAAGCAATGTATTGTATTGGGTAAATCTGCTGCAAAAATCTCTT